CGCAGCCGGCCAATGAACGCTCGCACGGCACGGCCGGCATGGCACGTCTGCCAGCCCGCCCGCGGAAGCGCTGCTGCGCGGCCGGGGCGCCTGCCGGGTAGGCCCGCCCGCATGACCTCCGCGTCGTGCGGGGTGGCCTACCTCGCGCCGTGGCCAGTGGCCGCCGCGCATCAGCTGCAGGCGTGGCGTCGCACTTGGGCTGCATGGCGCGTCGTGTTCGCGGCAGCTGCGCCCAGCTGCGCCCAGCTGCGCCCAGCTGCGCCCAGCTGCGCCCAGCTGCAGGCGCATTGCGTTGCGTCTCCGTGGGCGTTGCTCGTCGTGCCCGTGGGTTGTGGGCTGGGCAACACCGCCGACGGGCCGCGGGCGCGGGCGCGCCGCGTGGGCACCCTAGAGCCGCGCACGTCGGCTGGAGGACGCGTCCTGTACTGGCCGTACCAGTCGGGCCGCGGAGCTGCGCGGCGCTGCGCGAAGTGGGACCTGCCCAGCTCAGTATGCACGCTAGCGCCGCGCCAGCCTGGCAGCAGCATGCGCCTGCGAGCGGCGGCAGCGCCAGCATGGCCAGCGCGGTAGGTAGCGGAGGTGGCCGTGTCAGGCACAGCAGGCTCGTCTGCTGACGGAGGCCTTGCAGCAGGAGCAGGGGACCCTGTACTGTAGGTCTTTTTTTGTGCCCTCCCGCTCCGCGCCGGGTTGCCGATCTGTTGCTGACGTGTTTTCTTTTTCTTGTGCGTTGCAGCTGGTGTCGATGAGCGAGGAGCTCCGGAGAGCCCTGTACGCCACGAATTCTGCCAGCTTCGACTTCGAGTTCCTCGTGCCCGACCTGGTCGGAGTGACGGAGATCCTCACCGAGGACCACCGCAAGGAGTTGTGTCGGCATCTTCCAGCCCGTGCGGAAGGTGAGTGTTGTGTCGCACCGTTTTGCCGCACTCTGTGCAGGACATGCGTATGTATGTCGCTGCATATAGCGTAGCACTTCCACCAAATTCATTCTCTTCATGTACTGTATTTCTTGTTACAGGATATGTGTGGACTTTGGTGTTTAGCACATCACAGCATGGCTTCTCACTCAATTCTATGTACCGGAAGATGCAGAGGCTAGAAAGTCCCATCTTGTTAGTAATCCAAGACACTGACAACAATGTGAGTTACAATTTCTATTTTTATGAACATGTGATAAATTGGTTCTTCTGAATGTTTAGCATTGATCAATAAACTTTAATCATTCTAGGTCTTTGGAGCTCTGACATCTTGTGCACTGAAGGTCAGTGACCATTTTTATGGAACTGGCGAATCCCTTTTATTCCGGTTCCAGCCTCAATTCCAGGTGTACAATTGGACTGGAGATAATATGTATTTCATTAAAGGCAACAATGAAAGCCTTGCCATTGGTGCAGGAGAGTAAGTATCTTTCAAATCACCTTCAATTCAAGTTATACTTTGCATTCACTGATGTACTTACATTTTTTTCTCTTATTACAGTGGTCGGTTTGGCCTGTGGTTAGATGGTGATTTGTACCAAGGCCGTTCTCAGTCCTGCAGTACTTATGGTAATGACCCATTATCAATCAATGAAGACTTCGTTGTCAAAACATTGGAGTGCTGGGCCTTTATTTGAATGGAAAATGTCAGCAGCACAGCATGCTACCATTCCCAACTTAGAATACTAGTCGTCTTTTTAAATATTGTGTGTGAACCCTGCCTCGGTGAACTCCTCAGATTTTATAAACATATGTGCATCATATCAGCCATTTTGTGTTTCCTCACAACATGCTAAATTGTTTTTTCTTTTGAGACATTTTTGTTTTGTTGCTGAGGATATATCTCATTCATACATTTGTTTCCCTTTACGTGTTAACCACATGATTTGTGTTCAAATTATATTGTCAGTTCTGCATGAAATTTTCCTTTGAGTATGTCACATCAGTCTTATCTCTTGTGCATAACTTGAAGAAATTAATGTGTGAAGATAAATAATTCGATGTTGCTTTAACATGTTAATGCTTTATCTTAGAAAAGTACATGTTATCTGGCATGAAAATCATTTAAAATGTAGTACTTTTGGCAAAATGTTAACCTTCTTTGGAGCCGTTTGATTAGTGGCTTAATATTGCAGATTCATACAAGTTATTCCGGATAGGGGACTTGTGTGTAAAACTCTTTAGGGTGCTACTAAACAGAAATATACAGGCATTGATAATGTAATTTTGCTCTAGTTCGTTATTTTCATATTTGCTATCAGTTGAAGTAGAATAGATCAAAATATTTTCCATAATGTTCACATTGCCCATGAAGTTATGAAATTATGTAAAACTTAATTACTGTATGAACATATGTTTGACTGTGGTAGAATTATATCAGAAACTAGTTGCTCAAAAGTTTCAATTCAATGTAGTTACTAACTGTTGTGATTATGTCAATGTGCTTTACCTATCCTCTCTTTAGAAAGAGAGAGGACTAAGTATAGGTAGTGTTTCAGAGTATTGTAAAAATAGTCATGGGATTTGAAAACCCACAAACCAATCGTTATCAGTGCTTGTTACATCCCATTGGTGAAAAGAACCAATGGAAATCATTTAAGCAGCTCTACCTGCACACACATAGCTGTAAATAGACTATACATACGTGTATTATAAATACCTTTTATATTTATACTGTTTTAGAGTTTGTTGATTTTTGCAACACAGAGCTTTGTATCTATTAGTTGTTGCATAAATGTCATTGTATGTTTGGTTCATTCATGTGTTTTGTGAAGTTGTGTTAACTTTTTGTGATTATTCATTCACAGTGAAGTAATTGTGTAGGAATCTATAAATTTGCATTATCATTCAAATATTTTGAGGAACCCCATTATAACTCTGTCTTGGCTGTTTTCATGTGAGTTTTGTCTGGCGGTACCACAAAACTTAGATATGTGGTTGCTTTCTTTCTGGGCGAATATATACATATTTATTATCCACAAATGTGGTGAAATGTTTGTTTGACAGAACGAAGATAAAGTATTGCAATGTACACTTACATTTCTCTTACTAAGGTGGCGCTTTATGAGCAACTATCATAGTAAGTTTCTGTAGTACAAACTCTATTTTATATATTGTTATGGACCAAAACAATAATTTGTCTTATCCTCTCTCTCCTCATAGTCAGTAAAATGCTTGTCAAATCAGCTTGTTTGGTTCATCCTTCTGGAAATTGTAGTGCAGTAATTGCCTTGGAATGGAAAAAGAGAGAGATAGGATTAGGCTGAGACAATGGAAATGCAATGCAAGAGAGTGATGGGGATCAAGATACTTAAAGCTATGCTGATCATGTATATACTAGTGGATGTCTGTAGTCAAAGGATAACAAATTTTTTAGATCTATAAAGAAAAGAGAATGTCACAATCTGAAAGAGGTGTGCTTTCTCTTTTGTGTCAAAATATCATGCGTGTTGCGCAGTAGACTTAGCTTCATGTGTGTTATCTGTGCAGAATTAGAGGAAAGAAAAGTATTTTCCAGTTTTCATTTGAATCATGTTATTTTTATTAATTGAAATGGTACCCATATTTCTCCTAATGTCAGTCATACATGGATCAGAATCTAATGATTGTTACTTTTGAAGACTTCAACCAATGCCATATTCTGTCAAACCCTAATTATGAAGTTAGGATGTGCCATGATACAAAAGTTTGTTTCTGGATACTCATCCCATTGCAAGTCTTCTAATATTTTAAATTGTATATTTATTTATTTGTTTTTCGGAATTGTTTTGCACTTCCTACTCTCTTTGAGATTATTTACAATCTGTCGTCATGCATCAGATTTGTGATTCTATGTATTATTTTGTTGCAGCTTTTTTTTTCTTTTGTTTTCTGTTTTGTTTATTTCATGAGATGGTGTACTTTTGCAAAGAGACTGAGAGGAATGTGGAGCCTGTAGTTTTACTTTCTGTTACTGTATATATGTAAAAATTTAACGTTATTAAAATACTTTCACTGCACAACATGCCTTAGCATTTTATTTGCCTTTTTTTGCCCTTTCCTTATTATTTTGCTTGCCTGCTGCTTCTTTTATCTTTCTCTGTCAAATTATCATGACAAAACGAGGGTTAGGAATTTTGCAACTTAATTCATTGTGCTCAAATACTTTTTTGTTTCTCGATATTAACTTTTAATTTGGAACCTGAATGCTATCCTTTCCTCAACAAGTTCTTGAACACAACAAACAAAGGCACATATTGCTTTGTCTGGCATAGAAATATCTATGTTTTGTAATGTTATTTAATATGTAGAAATGAGATCGGGTGGTGATAATGTTGATGGAAGTTATGTAGTGCTTTTAAGTGTTTTGCAGGGTCAATGTTTAGGCAGCTCATACTTGGGCTTTGTGTTGTTGCTGCATAACATTCATATTTTAACAGAGATTTTCTCTGTACATAGGATGTGATTTATATTTTTATTGTACAAAATCAGATCCTCTTTCGAGAGTTCTTCAGCTGATAGCTATGTAGGACACCTTTTGAAGTCTACTTTTGATTGATGTTAGAGATTTCTAAATAATGCATATATCTATTACATATGAATGATAGTCAATTGCAGCTGAATTTCTTTTTTGTGTGAAAAATTTTAGTCTCATATACTGTCTTATCCTTATATTTTGATAACAAAAAATCATGATACTTGTTTTGTGAAAAGTGATGATAAGCCACATTTTTTTTTAATTTTTTTTTTGCCACATTTTGATTTGAGTTTTGCTCTTGTTGTTGACTTTACTTTCTGAAGTAGCTATGAGACATGTGAAGAATGTGTTGCTATTTGAACAAACAGTGTAGTTCTGCATTTTCATCTCAGGGGAATATTCAAGAATTGTCAAGCACTGAATGCAACCTCTTCGGTAGCACAAAATTACCTTTGTCTACCCCCCTAGGCGATGTTTAAGATAGCAAGAAGTAATTTTGGCATTCAGCTCATTGTATCACATTCATTTTGGTGTGTTTTGATAACTGTAACTGTGCCTAAAACCTTCTTCCATTTCTCATTTTTACTCCACTTGGTTTGATGGATGAGAGAGAGCTAAATGTATTAAGATGTTAGTTTTTGTGTTTAGAAGTCTTCTTGCTGGGATCAACCTATCTATCTTTTAAAAAGGCCTGTACCTCAATTCTATGATCTCATGATCAGACAAATTCTAATGCCTACTGTACTGTGTAGTACCTGAGTGTCGCTGCCAATTTTGCTTACTGTTTCATTGAGTATAACAAACATGAGACAAGCTGCAATACTCATAGGGATTAGATATAGGGTGAGATTTAATTTGTGACAAAGAAATGAAAGAGATAGAGTTGGCATGGCTTTTCATTAGAAAATTTACCTCTATGCTTTCTCCTGAAACATAACATGTGTTTTCAAATATTTCTGTTAGTGCCTCCCAGTGGTTCAAAATACTCGCGACTCAAAAGGAAATGATCGATGGGGGTGGAGCTAAAACGCGTCAATAAAAATCATTTGCCAATTGGATAGGAGTGTCTGTTGCAATGACCTCCAATGTATTTGCTTTGAGGCAGAGGAGAGCACAAGCAAGTCCGCCATTAAATGTATATTGCTTAGTCATGTTTATTTGTGTACAATAATATAAGTCTGTTGATAGTATTTACTAATTACTAGTAATAATAATACTCCTTGAGTAATGAAGTACTATGCTGATCTTACTTAGTCAATTGTCTTGTGATTCTCACAAAAATTGTTTAGAGAAACAAAAGGATTGTGGAACAAACTAATTTGAACGGACCTTTATCAACAAGACATATTTCATGTTGCTTCAATGTTCCTTGTCTTCAGAAAACAAATGGAACAATATGCTGTAAGATTTGCATGGTTGTGGAGTTGTAAGTTAACAATGTCTAAGGTCAAATGTGTATCTATCATTATGAGCTCTAAAGATATGAACTGGATAGATGCCCATATAAAAGATATCATTTTTACAAGGACCAAATGATTGGTTTCAAACTATATCATTCTCAGGCATAATATTTCTTTTACAATCCGTTTCCTAAATTTGTATATTGCAGTCAGAATGCAAAGCACCATTGAAATCGGGAATGAAACCTATTCACCAAATTACATGCAAAACACTTAGGACTACTAACATTACCCAATGTCAATTAGCTCTCAGACTGATATGCATGCTTCATTTTGTGTGTCACATCTACGCTTCTAAGCGTGTCCTATTTGTCTTATGACCACACAATTGTAAGGTGGAGATATTTTGAAATTTAAAATCTGTTGTAAGCTTGACATGCTTATTGGGGAGTTCATATAGCTTTCAAAACTTGGAGACACCACCAAAATAAAAAACATAATCTTTGTGCAGGACACTTTTGTATAAATTATTATTACAATAGCTTTTCAAAATTAAAAGAGAAATAGCTTCAGACAATGTGAAATAAATCTCAATCTGACTAGAAATATACTGAAATGTCAACCATTTCATGGTAGATACTACCTTGGCTTCTTAATTTTACATTAAATTGAGAAACTCAGTTGTTGTGTGTTTGCAAACTGTATAACTCACTCACTGCCTGCATTCATAGCGGCATTGTAACTGTACGCTTATAGAGAACTGGTCGCTACTGCGATACTTAGTGGCTGTGAAATAACATGTTAGTATCTGGGATTCTTAATTGCTTTTATAGTACTGTTTCTGGGCTTCACACATAGGTCATTTTGTGACCAGTGACGAGTATTTTGCTAATGTGCTGGCATTGGCTCACATCTAAGCACCTTTGATACCTAACAAGGTTTTTGATAGAGCTCAAGAGACTAGTCTCAATGGTAGTATTGAAATTCTGCTATGAAAATGAAAAAATCAGTCTCTGTGGCAACCCACTTTGATCTATAAACTTCATGATCATAATGCAGCCACCATCATAAAACTGTTCTGTGTATGATACTGATAATAAAAATTATTTCAGTCACACACACGAAAATGTGATTATATTCAAATCCATGAGTGATTGTAAATTGCATTTTTGTTCAAAGAAGACAAAATACTTCCTGTACCCCCGCCAAAGAAGTTTGTTTGTAATATGACGGAATATTCCTGAAGCACCCTCAAGGTGCTTGTGTATTTGAAATAAAGAAAATATGTGTTAAATATCAAGCTTAAAGTTTTGTATCCAAGGTCAAAACATTTGAAGCTACTATGATGCAGTATTTCTTAGCATCTGTATCTGAAATTGCAAGACTACCGATGATCTTGTTATGAAACCCATAACTGTGGACACAGTTGCAAATTGTGTGAAGTTAGTTGTAAATAAAAGTGATAGTCAAGCAATGGCAAAGCGTGTCTCTTAGCACTCCCGAGCCCTACAACTATTTACTGCTCCTAAGCGCGCCGCGGGGGTAGGCAACCCATTCGGCACACACGATCCTCACATTCACACATGGCACCCGCATTCTTGCCTTATTTTTATTTTACCCCTGACAATAACTACGAAATTGAAAAGACTGCTTTTTGCAGAGATGATTCTGAATGGAAAAACTGCCGCCCTATCAGCAGCGCTCGAGTGAACCATTGCGGGGCCACGGCCACGCGTAGGGCTGGACACGGTTTTATTTCTGTACCCCCCCCCCCTCCTCCCCTCACCCCGCTGCGGCGATTGGAGGGGCATCCTCGACGAGGAGGTCACAGTGGGTCACAGGGCCAGGTCCCGAATAACGCCTGGGCACAGCAGAGTCAACAACCACGCGGGCGCCCACGAAAGTGGTGTCAGTTTGCGCAGATGGAGTCACCAAAACAGATTTCCATTATTTTCGGCGCGAGGTGATCGGCGAGTGTATTAACACCCCAGCGCAAAATTCAGAAAAGTAATACATTGAATAAGTAAGCTGCACTTCTTTTCTCAAGTTTGTACTCAGCTTTGCATTTGGACTTTTGCCTCAGATCAAGTTAAGATTAATCTTTCATTCCTTGTTCTTGATTTTAGTGTACAAAGAACCTTGGTTCAAAGTGCAAGTACACATAAAGACAGGAGATTATCTCTTGGAAACGTTGGCAGATAGTGGACAACATTTTTGCTAAAAATACTGAAGTTTCAATAATTTTGAAAATAATTTAAAGGAAATGAATATTGCTGCAGGAAGTTGTCGGCATTTGGTCGGGTAGCTTCCCATTTTACTCGAATTTTCACGATTTTCACCACGCCAACACACTCCGAGTGCAAGAGGTTTGGGTCTTGCACTGCGCGCACGACGATAGCGCCTGCAACGCGACGGGTAGGCCAGCCCGCCAAGCAGCCGTGTGGCGCTGGCGGCCCGCCCTCAGCGCCACGAGGGTTCGGGCTTGGGAGAGCTGAGCTGCTCGAGAGCAAATGGGTGTATTTAGATTGTCTGACCTATTTTTCTCCGACCTGGTGATTTTTCCAAATTCCCAAAAAGTGCTGTCCCACCTACGTTTTGTCCGATCTAATTTTATGCTGACCCATTTTTCTCCGACCTCGTCGATATGCTGAAAGTTTGGAAAATGCAGTTAACTTTACCCGAGACTTTACCCCACGTTTGGTTTTCCTACCCCAGGGGGCCGTAGCGCCTAACGGGCATTGCAGGTAGGCAACACGCACGCCTGCGTGCGGTACAGCATAACCACGACGACTGGCGGGTTCGCCTATCCCCGGGCAGTGCGGCAGTGTGGCACTAAGCTTTAGACGTGAATCGCCTCCGTGCAACCGGTAGTTAAAATACCTCTTAGAGCCGGATTCACTTTACCTATAAAATTATCAAAAATTTAAAAAAAGGGGGCCCTACCCACCCCGCTTTGACACGGGGACCCGCCTGTTTAACTTCGGAGTTCGG